TCCTATTTGCTTTACATGGTACGTATATGACTAGTGGGGAATCTTGCTCATACTTTGGCTAGACATTTTGATATCCATTCTAACGATGCATATCCGTGATCGTTATGGTGAAAGTTGGTAACAATGGAATCAGTTCGTGGTATAAATGTTCCTATGTACACCACCCTGAGACGGACTACTGTAGCTTTTACAATGATTGTTGAGCATATTTTGACACGGCAGAAACATTCATATCCTGTTATGGGCAGGTACACAATACATTTACTTTTCCATAATTGTGGCATTAATTTTATTGGAAGAAATAAAATGATGGGTTATATGAAGTTCAGTCATGCACATGAGTGTATTGTTTTGCAATTAAGTCTTTATGTTTTTGACACCTTTCTTAATGGAATGCATCCAAGGACTTCATCAGTGTGGGGATAATTATACTCGGTGCAATTGTTGCCGGAGCTCGGGATTTGTCATTTGACGCCTATAGCTATGGTGTTGTCTTTGTTGCAAACATATGCACAGCGATATATCTTGCTTCTATAGCTCATATTGGTAGTATCATTGTTCTTCTGTTGTCTTATGCCTCATTTATTCATGTGACACTCGAGTACTAGGTATCGTTATTAATACAAAATATGCTTCAATTTTGCAGGTAAATCCAGTGGTCTTAGTACCTTTGGCCTAATGTGGTGCAATGGTGAGAAAAAGACTTAAACGAAGTTTTATATGTTGCCTTCAGGTTCATTTTGCGTGAAATGTACTCTGGCTTAACTAATATTCTACGGAAATCTATTTTCTGTATCATAGGAATAATATGTGGACCAATCTTGCTGTTTTGGACATCAATTAACGGTGACCTAGAAGGGATGATAAACTTCCCGCATCTATTCTCCCCTGGGTTTCAGGTGCTTCACTTTCATGAGAAGTCTCTCTCTCTCTCTCTCTCTCTCTCCCCATCAAAGAATTTTTTGAAACTTGCTAAATTTGAATATTTTGCAGGCTGTGATGCTTCTTTCCTGTGTTATGGCTTTTTCCATAAATTATTGCGTTTTTTGGAATACCACTCTGAATTCTGCTCTCACACAGACAATTTGTGGTAATTTGAAGGTATATGATGCTCATTCCGGACCTTGTGTTATGCTGACCATACAAAAATTTCCGGTGTTAGTCATGTTATTATGATCATATAATTAGGTTTTCTTGAAGTTGGCTCATTGTTGTTGATTTTAGACTGTCAAGCCAGTTGGCTTCCATATGATATTCCACATCATATATATGTTATTGAACATATATATGTTATTCCACATCATATATATTTTATGATCTTTAGAAATAACGCATTAGAGTCGATGACCCAAATGATAACAGCCACGCCCTGCATTAGTTGGTATATTCTTTTCTGCACGCCATTGTTTTCAACAATCACAGCTGATCCTATCCGTGCTATTTTAGGATCTTTTTACTATCGGACTTGGCTGGTTACTGTTCGGCGGGCTTCCATTTGATTTGGTAAGCGTAAACTCTCATCTGCCTGTTATTCCAGCAATGCTCATTAGTCACTACTGACAGTCAATATTTTGCTTACATTTCATGTGAACTATTGCCCTGCTTTACTTCAAGTTAAATGTTGCTGGTCAATCTCTTGGTTTTTTTGGGTCCTGTTTATATGCGTACTGTAAACTCCGAGGGAACTGAGAGGCAAAGTGGCTACATAAAGTCTTCCTTCAGGCGAAGTAGTGGTCCGATGACTGGGGAATGGCTGCCTGCATCCGCTGCCAAATTTTGATTTGTATCCTCAGGTTCTTGACGAGAAATAAATAATCTTTCTAGCTTACTCTCAAAAGATTAAACTTTATCAAACATGTTGCTTATATTTGTACGAGTTCCGATTTCCCGCAAGGTATCTAGTTAGCAAGTGGCTATTTGCTAATTAAGTAGATTTGACGTAGTGATGTGTAATTTAGACAGGAGTTTTGTTCTTGCCTGGGAGAACTTGTAGTTTTTACTTTGAAACAATGACAAAGCTCTTGTTCTTAAAGTTGCGAGGGAGTTCTGAAATTGCGCAGAGCCTACAGATTACCATCGCTTTGAGACGATATTTTGTAGGGCTGCCTAAGCTAGGGCACTCTCACACCTGGTAAGGACGGACGGCTCAGAGGATGATCACTTTTGTACTTGTCCCCATTCCTCACGGACCAACCCCAGAATAAAATAAAAACTAGTAATTAAAACTTGATGTACAAGGATCCCATACTTTCGAAAGAAAATACCTTATAGATGATGTAGTCGAGCATCCTTATCCAAAATTTTCTCGTGTGCCTGTGTAGAGGGATAACGATATACGTGAAATAGATTCATTGCCACGTGAGGTTTTGATCTGATATAATGTCATGTGAATAATTTGCAAGTGACGTTTTATTGGAATAGAACGGAATAAAATTACGATGGTAGTAAATCTGTTTTCTGCAAGTCATTCTCGTGTGTAGAGGAGGGGAGTCTCTTGTTTGGCAAGGTGACAAGCGACTTTGCCCTAAATGACATGCATGATTGAAACACACCCCATGAGCCATGATCAATATCCCTCATTTCATGCAAACTGGCCTATGACTATGAGACAGAACTTGCACCTTCTCCTCACCAACTTCGGATCCGAGCTCTCCCTTCAAAACTCCAAATTGTCTCAAAATCCATGTTGCTTATGTGGCGCATCGATCGGTAGACCAGAAGGCAAACAGCTGCTGCTGAAACAACTAGATTAAAGCAAAAAGAAAAGAAAGTTGTAGTGGCGTGTGGGAGGCAAGAAATTATAAAAAAAAATAAAAAAGAAAAGAGAAGAAAAGTAGGTTCAAATATTCTGTGTTTGAAGGAAAAGAAAGAAGAAAAAACTACTATTTGAAGAAAGTATGTTTGCTTTCTTGATGAATATAAAAACGCCAGCATGGTATCGGCCCCCTCTGCTCAGCCTGAAATAAATCTCACTTATGAGTCGACCATAGGTGTCTCTTTGTCTACCTCTTTAATCAAAGGCTCTCAACAGCGAAAGGATGAAGACCATTTTTAGACCAGAAATATTCAGCTGACTTCTGACACTGCTGGAATTTATATTCCTTGTACACTGTTCATGTTCATTATTACTGTTTCAATTGTGCATTACATGGTCATACTAAAATTTTGCAAGTACATACTCTGGACACATTTGGAACACGTATTTCATACAAACACTTGGAAATACCAACACTATTATGAGTTATTGAGTGACATATAGAAATTCTTAAGTACGGATGACCAGACTACGTGATCCAACTACACACAAAACACCCTATAGTCTGCATATTCTACTGTATTTTGGTCGCACCCCCTTGTGTTTGGCACCATTTCATGGATATCTTACACTATCTGTTCGTACTTAATACGTATTTATACATAATTAATGTGTTCGTACGTTGTTAATACATGTGGTGTTTGGAGGGAGAGCAGGCGTAAAAATCCATTGCTTTTGACCTCCTCTCAGTCTTAGTCGTCTAACAAAGAGAAAGACCTAGGATCTGGTGTATGTAGTAAGATGAGAAAGGGGATTGGAATGGTTTAAGGCGTGGGGGAATCTGCTTGGTTAGTGGCACGCGAACTTATCGCCCCAAATAATGAGAGTGTGAGAGAGAGAACGACTTTCTAGTAAGCTAATTTATAATTTTGAGAGAGAATTTTTAACAAATATATATTTGTTAAATAAAAGAGTGAGGAGGGGTGGGGGATCTTTTGCACTTCCCAAAAGCTTCAGAGAGAAGAAGAGGGAGGGGGAAGGCAGGTGGCCCTTAAAATAAAGGGAAAATGTGGATGGTGAAGGAAAAAGGGAAGACAAAACCAAGGAAAGTGTCGGGCAGTGGAGGCCCAAGGCAGGGCTTCTTTAGCGCCGGTGTCCCCGCTCTGGTTTGCTGCATATTCCTCCTATTTGCTGAATTAAATTCATCACTCGTCACTCTGAGTGTGTGCAAGTGTATTGTTGCATTTGCATGCTAATTAATTAATTAAACAGATTAACTGAAACTTGTGTGTCTGTCTTTGTTTTTTTGTACGAGAGTGTCTCTAAGTTTGTGTGTGTGTGTGAAATATAGCAACTTTGTACGTACTACTCCTTCTCCTTCCATTCCGAAAGTCTTTATTCTTTTTAGACTAAATCACTTCGCTGACATTCTGCACTCCTTTTCCCAATCTCTCTCTCTCTCTCTCTCTCTCTCTCTCAAGAGTACTACTGCACACACATGAGACTGCATGCATCTTCTCTTTTGACCCATCATTTTAGTTTCTATACCTGTACATTCTTTATACTTATTTGGGCACTACGTACCAAGTGCCACTTAGGTTTAACTTACAGTTTGCATAATAGTAGGAGGCCTAAATATGCTGTGAGCTATATTTTCATCTCACTTTCTGTTACTGTTTCAGTATATGATAATGATATACCAATTGTGTATCATGCAAAGTTGCAAATTATCTGTTATGCCATGTTTGGATAAAGAATTTTAAAATTTCATGTAGTTTAGATTAAATTTGGTATGAGTGTTCTATAAAAATTGATCAAACATCTTTAAAAAATGACTAAATGCAATACAGTTGTGTATATATATATTACATATAAGCCAAGCATCTTATTCTTAGATTAAATAATTAATCATCGAAGAAAAGCATGACATACTAATTAAATTGAAAAGGGTGGGGGTCTAAAATATTGATAAAATATTGTACAAAGAGAGGTGCATTGAAGGAGTTGTTTTGGTTTTTTGGTGGGAGAATATTTCAGGTGCATGCGCAGGGGAAGTTGGTTGATTTATTTGAGTACAAACTAAGCATGACAAACCCTAAAGTAGTGTTGCTCCCCATTCACATCATTCCACTCACCTTCTTCTTCTTCTCCCCCTTCCCATATCCTCTCATCCCGAGGTAAAACCTACCAGTATACATTCTCATCCCTCTCCATCCCTTCCCTCTTCACCTGTCTCCCTGATCTCTCTCTCTCTCTCTCATCCTGCAGATAGCTGTTTCTTTTGTTATATATATGACACACTTGTTAACTAGCTCAATAACTCTGCATTTGGTTGTTTTCCATAACCACAGTGTGTGTATATAGATATCTACATATATAAGTCTATATGTAAATATATCTATATAGCTAAGATATCATGTACGGCTGTTTCTAGAAGATATCCCATCTGTGCTATAATTGTATTCAGATTTTTGTTCTCTTGTATACGTTTCTTATTGCTGCATGTAATGTTTGTATCATGCATCGTTTTAAAATCCCACTTCAATAGCTATCGGTATTTTTGTGTCTTCATTATTTTTTATGGTGTGGAATATAAAATGTTATTGCCCAAAGCATTTGACTCGATGGTGCTAATTAGATGCAAGTTATTAATATTTTATGGATCCCACAAACCCACTTCAACAAATACTGGCCCCAAATCGACACCCTACAATCCACTATATACCTTGACCCTTCCACCCCACTAAGCTAGCAGCCACCTTAATTAGTTTAATTTTTCTCCATAGGAAATTACCTAAAAAATAGTCTCTAGCCGTTTCTTTAATTTGGTTGTAAACATTAGTGTAGTTATGTTGGTTAGAGCAATGTGTACTCCTTCCTTTATATTTAAGATCGAATTCCTCATCTCGTAGTTTAGAGTGAATCAAAAATCGCTTTGTAAAAGAAAATAAATTTGGTTTGATGGAGCCGACATGGGACCATATTTGGTATTCTTTAATTCAAGTACTTTTGCCCCTTTTATTAGGTCAAGGGTAGCAGCTAGCCCTGCTCAAAAGGCGAAAAGACCGCTACAAACTCTTTAGATTTGGCCACATTTCTTCAACAACTTGACTTGCTTTCGGGTTCATGGTGAAAGAACATCTGCTCTTTTATGGTAGCTTGTTTTATCTTCATTTTTATGGCATGGATATGCATGTTTGAGAAGTAGCAGAGAGAAAGCGATGTTGGTGAGGTTCAATCCGAAGACAGATTTACACATCCCTGCTGGCGTAAATTGATCTCAGATTGAGCCGCGCCAATATCACTTTCTTAATTATTTGTTGCTTATTCATAACTAAATCAATTGCTTTTCCTCTCTAACTTCATCAGGTTTTTATTAACAAAAGAAGATTGGAAATTCGAACTTGAAGCAAGATATCGCATGTTAATGTTATTTCTGACCGAATTTATACTTCTATTTGTTAGTTATTAGTCTTTCTTTATCAACAAAAGAAGAGTGGAAATTCGAACTTGAAGCAGGAGAGCTAATCGACGGGTCATCTACTAGTTCCAAGCAGTCTTCGATCTAGAGAGAGATCGATCACAGATATGCAATCTTCCTCCCTCTCTCTTGTGATTGTTGGTTTACGGTTCGAATATCTGGTTTTACTTTTGATTGATTAACAGTGTTGAGAATGAATCTCACTTGGAGAAGGACCTTGCACGGGCTTATAAGTAATTTGAGTTACTCTCTATATTATTGGCAATTGATTTTATGGTGGAACTCAACTTTCTTCATGGTATCAGAGCAGATTGTTCCATGTGTAAAGCCAAATGGCCACAAGTGCTACATGTCATCCCATTTGGGTTGTTCAGGTGTTAGACTTGAAAATTTGTCACACGTGGAGAGACCTTGTATGGGCTAGTAAGTAAATTAAGCTACTCTTCATATTGTCAATTAGTTTTACGATAAAACCTCAACTTTCTGCACATAGTAATGTACGTTCAACTTCAAATGTAGTATTCCCTTATCATCTATACTTAATGAGAGTTTATACTGTCATACTCCTTTCATGAACATTTTTGTAACTTACATTCTTTGAACAAAAATTAACTATAGTCATAGAAGTAATTTTTTTTGAGTTCATTAAAGTGAAAAATTCCCATGGTAACTAATGTCATATGTAGAACAATACTGTTTTGGGTGATGCTACAAAGATCATCTACTTGAACTATATTATGGGGCGACTGATGATTGAATTTTTTCTCTGAATCATTAAAGAAAGAATCCAACCATCAACTACCGCATCACGTGACTTACAAAATATGATTTTAAAACATAATCTTTCTAGCATTTTCCTACTTTTTTTTTTTAAGACAGAAGAGCTAATTACCTTCCTAAATTTGGAGAAACATATTATTATTCTCATTCTTTCTCTAGAAAAATAACCGTATAGGCCAATATACGAAAGTTATGGAATCATCAAATTTAAAGTACTAAAATATCATGATGAACTTTTGTTTTTCAAGTTATATATATTGCTTGAGCATTGTATGTCAATGTAACTAATTTTCCTTTCAAATTAAGTTCTGTTTGTACCCTCACGACACTTGTTCTTCTTGACCCTGGTTAATTATACATGTTCACACTAACCTAACGTTTTCTTTCTGTATTTTTCTATTTTGTTGAGAAATGGAGACTCTCAAAAGTGAGATTCTCCATGGGCTCTCTGTCATTCCATATTTTTGTACAATATTTTATAATATTGGTACGAAAATTCACGTTAACTTGTGAGGTGTCAAAAGATCTATAAAAAAGTGTTACTTTAACAGAGTTTGCTTAGAATTTCTCTTTTTTTTTCTTTAATTAGGTCAACCATTTGAGTTAGAGGCATATCTATGCAACCACCGCCACCCATATTTTTAGTTTTTAGACTAAATTCTGACCATTAAACTAAATTCTGCCCCCAGCCCAAAAATATAGCCGAGCATGTAGGGTTTAGAAATTGATGAATGTACCACCTATTTGCTTTATTCATGGTTATGACATAGTCATGGACCTAAAATCTTGAGTTTCCCCTCAGAGCAGTTGAGTTGACGCGTTGAAAACACGTTCTGTTTCTGATATATTTCCATTAGCTAATTAACTCCATCAAACACTCCCAACGAACTTTTATTTTGTAATTAAATTTTAGGGCACGTCTCGTTGAGGCTGAGGAAATTTAGTTTCTTGAGTTGGTTTTTGTGCATGAAAATGGAGGTGGATTTTTGTGAACAAGAGTTGGCCACGAATGCCGCTGCTTGCAGCCTGTTTCCGGCATCTCTATCTCCGCGGAGACTGCTCAGCAGCAGCGGTCGGAAGAACCATACTTACCAAAAGCTGCCCCAGGAGCCGCTTACGCTCTTCGTCATCAAATTGGATGGTTCTAGCTTTGGTACGTAAATTTAATATCATGCACTGCTCATGCTTTTTACGTACGTACATGCATCGTGTGTGTTGTGATTAACTGATTTTCTTCTTCTCAATGGAGGCAGAGATTCAAGTTTCAAAGACGGCGACCGTGGCCGAACTGAACGAGGCAGTGAAAGATGTTTTCAGTCAGTCGTCGATAGATGAAATGATTTCATGGTACGTATGAATACAATCTTGGCATTGGCATGGATTTGGTTTGTTTTAAAAGTAAGGGAGACTTTGGATGCGGTCCCTAGTTATGAACAATCTTTGACTGAAACTTTGTTGGTTTTCAATTTTTGATCCAAGTCCCTAAAATTAATTGATAATTTATTTCTATGTACGTTACTATATTTTTTAAATTAAAAATTAAAATTTATAGTTGTTTATATTAATGAGATTTTAAATAAAAAACATAATTTGTGGGATTAAAAATATTAAAATATAAATATACTATTGTGTGTGTGTGTGTAAACATGGGTACATTCATAAAAAATAACCAAAAAATTATTGTATCAAAACATGGGTACATTCTTCAAAATGGGTACATTTAGCAAAAATAAAAATGGGTACAAATAAATTAAAAAATATGGGTACAATACAAATAAAACTTTAAAAAATATGGGCACAAAAAGAAATTAATATATGGGTACTAATTAAAATTGAAAGGAAAATTGGTACAAATTAAAAAAGGGTTGCAAATTAAAAATGGGTACAAACTAAAAATAAAAATATATGATAAAAAATTTAGCCATAAATATAAATATACTAATTGTAACATTTTTAATATTAAATGAATATATTTATAAATAAAAAATATTTTATTAATGAAATAATTAATGATATTATTAATACAAAGGACCTTGATCAAAAATTGAAAAGTAATAAGGTTTTAATCAATAGAGTAGTAAAAATAAGGATGAAAACCTAATTACTCCTAAAAGTAATTAGAAGGTATATATTTTGTACAATTTCTCTAATATATTTATACAAGAAAAAAGTGATTCAAATAAATATTGAAATTTCTGAACAGGTCACATGTGTGGGGTAATTTTTGCTTATGCTATGAAGGTCAGAAGCTACTCGATTACAAGGCATTAATCCGACCTTTTGGAATCAAAGATGGCGATAAGGTAGTCTTGCTATATATTATTGTCCACCTCTAAACTTCAGTTTTGAATTTTGAGAAATTTAAACAAATGATTTAATTTGTAAATCTCAATTGCTGAAATGATCATTTTTCAATATATCATCAAATATTCGATTGTTATGTTATCAAATTTGATCAGTATTGTCTTCAATGTTTGATTTTGATCAATTCAACAATTGAGATTTCATTTCTGATCATTTTACTAAATTTCCTTGAATTTTCTCTAATTTTTCTTGACTGCCAAGATTTAATGATATATTGTAATTTTGGTGTAAAATCTGCAGATATTTTTTGTTCGACATGCTTCAATAATTAAGTATGAGCGGGAAAAGCGGCGGATAGGGTTGTGGAGGAAAAGGATATGTGACATCTCTACTTATGAACAGCTGGTGAAGTTGTGATGATGATGAATGACAATCACACATGAATAATTTGTATACATGCAATATTAGGGTTTGTAGACGAATGCTTCCACTTGAGAAATCCGATTCTTTCATTTTTTTTGTTAAGGCATGTACGTTGTTTATAGTTGTAAATAGCAAGAGTCACAGGGAACTTGTTAGTTAAAATCATGTACAGTCCAATGAACAGCCAGCAGAAAATTGTAAATTGTTGAAATATTTCATGGATCGATTACGAAAACCGAAATCGAGGTTACTAGATCTCCAGATGATCAGCTTCAGTTTGAAATCTGACTCTGTAGAGAGCATATACACTTATAGGAAGGTGCAGCATGATTCAGAGAGGAGAGGATGCAGATGAAAACCAGGGTTCTATGTATCGAAACGGTAGATCTTAAGAGGATTATATCTGTCTTCATCTGTATGTTTACAGCAAGTTTCAATAAATTTTAATGAAAGATAGAATAAAAAAGCTCAAACTTTCCAGAAGTTTTTTTATTGTCATGCCATGTGGTATTACAAATCTGTTCATGTTACAACACATAAATCTATTTCTTAATAGGGTAGTGTTATTCATGTCTGAAAATTAAGAGATGTATATGAAAGGTAAAAAAAGGTGTGTGGATTGTGGAGCCAAAAATATTCGCTAGGCGACACGTGGACTTTTGAACGAAAGAGGACAAAAATACCCTTGAGGCATACCGGGATTCCTACGATCAAGTAGTGGGTAATCATCCTCAACCAATTCAAAAATGCTCCAAAAGAGGTAACCAATTCCAAATTATCTTATTTTAGGTAATTATTTCCAAAACTTAATTTCCCTAATATATTATTTAGTTAATTAATTATCTAAATAATATATTCTTCCCATATCTCCTAAAATCATCCCTTAATTATCAATTTGAAACATCCACTCAAACCTAAAAAATTATATAGGGCCGGCTACCCCATTCAAAGCCTATTCCATCACCTTTTTCTACCTTTTCCACCTTTCCTTCCCTTTTAAATTAGCCAATCAATACCATAAATACTAAAACATTTCCTTTCATATTTAATTAGCCAATTAATTGGCTAATTAAACCTAAAATAAACCCTAAAATCCCACCTAGTAGACCGGCCACATTCCCTCTCTTTGCTCCACACCTTTTCAAATTTCTTCCACTTTATTAGCCAAATAATGCTAGTCATTCAATTGGGTAACTTCCCATTTATTTCTATTATATTTTATTAGCCAATAAAGTGGCTAATAAAACCACAAAATTCATCCCAAAGCACAAAGAAAGGGCCGGCCATTTCTTGAAGATGTGGACCAATTTGGTCCTATAAATTGTCACCCATTTTTACCAAACACTCATTCCAAACCTCTTGCAAAAATTCCAAAACACTCTAAACACTATTTCTCTCTAAATTTCTAACTTTGGCATCGGAGGTTCTTCGGCCAAAGCCCCCCCCCATTCATCGTGGGCGCGTGAGACTTTTGGCCTTAACCTAAGGTGCTAGTTGTTTTGTAGGTGCAAAATCGTCCAAGATCGAAGAGGAGAAAATTTGCATCCACATGGATAGCACCACTCTTAATATTATACCTTACTTGCATTACACATATAAATCGCTCACCTATATGTTTTATAACACATATAGTAATAACACTTTGTGACAATGTGACCATCCTACTCGAAAATTTCTCCAAACTTTCGATCAAAGTGGCTGACATTAATTAGCTGCAAATATATATCTCAAATGAAACATTGGCGTGATGAATGATGATTCCAAAATATCAAATGTGAGCTCTCCTAGCCTCTTCCACTTGTCACTTTGGCTCGAAGATTTCATACACAACCGTTAACAAAGGCGACCTTTGTTTCATTCAATCGTGTGTCAAGTCTGCAGTCGAGGAATGGGATTGACCGCGCGCAACAATCATCTGCGTTGCTGCTTGCCAGTATTTAACGGAGAGTCTCTGATGCTCTTAGACTGGCTGTAGGTGAGCTGGTGTGTTCCGTCAGGTTTCTTCTTTCGCCTTCCTAGTTGAGATAAACGAGAATTATGAGATAAAATGGCGAGAGGTCATTGACATCCTGCGAAGGAGTAAGAATCCTCACGACTTCATCCATTGTAGGGCGGGATTTTGGTCCCTACTAAGGCAGCTGTAAGCCAATTGTGAGACCTTCTGGACCCCTTTAATGGAGTAGTTCAATTCCATGCGTGGATCCACTAGAACGGAAAGCTTTCGCTTGTCAGCTAAATGTGGCCGAGCCCATGCCACCAGGTTTTGTTCTCTGCTAGGGCATTTCTTGTCCTTGGATCTTCTTTTGTTGTAAACTAAACCAAAAACCAATCAAGCAATAAACAAAACACAATGATTTCAGAGTTCCTCCAATATAGGAGTACCTCTCTAACAACGGAAGCTTTATTGATTACCAACAAATACAAGAGAACTCACAAACTCAAAGTGTTCTCAAGTATACAAACTTATGCCTCTCAAAAACTCTCACACACAAAACTCAATCCCACATCCATCTATTTATACTAATAGATGTCATAGGTTACACAAAGTCCCTAGAATATAGGAAATCAAATCTTATACTAAAACCAAATCCCAAACCAACTAGGAAACACAAATCTAAATATCTTGCGTCCAAGATATCCGAATCCTTGTTTGATTCTTATTTTAGTTTAGGCATGTTGTTTTAATGTCAAATCCAGCATCTTCCTGTTACAATCTCAAGTAAAACTACACCAAAGCTGTATTTTTATACACATCAGTTTTAGATGTCAAGTCCTGTGAAAACGAAGGGAACACAAATTGTACTGGTTAGACCTCCAATTTCTTATGAAACAAGAAACTCATACAGAGATCTTGAGTTAATTATGTTCTGAATCAATAGGATAAAAAAAGAGTTCACATAGCCGAGCTCATTCGGATATTCATATTTTCCGAGTGCTTTGCTCTTAAGGTTCGACTCTCTTTTCTTTGAATGTAAAACATATAAATCATACATGATAGCTATCAGTCTTCTTAAAATTCTAAGTATTACATAAGGACTGTTCTGTATCTAAAATTTCGAATGTTACCAATGCTTGGTGGTTCAAGTGGTAAGGAGCTTGTTCCCCTTAAGCAAGGTCTCGAGTTCGAGTCTTGTGAATGGAGAGCCAGCATTGGAAGAGTTTGCCCCCCCCCCCGAATGGGGTCCAACCCAGCTCGAGGGATTAGTCCTCACCTACGTGTGGGAGATACCCTGGATTCATCCAAAAAAAATTTCGATTGTCTCGAAAAATTTGAACCATCTGTTATGGCTTCCTTAACATTCTCTGGAGTAGCATAGCAATTGGTTCCAACAATCCTAGTAGAAACATGCGTTTTGTCTCCCTCAACCAGTGGCGGAGCCACGAATCTTACCACAATGGGTCGTAGTGTAAAAGTCCAAAAAAAAATTTAGGATGGAAAAACATGTTGAAAATGAAATCATAGTACTTTTATTCATAATTCATAATGAAAACAATATTACAAGCTATAATTGTCCACGACGAGATTTCATATTTTGAAAACGAAGCATTATAGCTTCATTTTCAATACAAGCAAAAATATCTCTCTCAATATAAACAAGCAAGCTATCACTCAACCATTGATCTCCCATTTTGTTCCTAAGTGGACCCTTAACAATATTCATGACAGAAAATGTTCTCTCCACTGAAGCAGTTGCAACTGGTAAAACTAAAGACAATGTAATGAGAAAATATACATAATTGAATACTTGATGCATCCTTGTCTCCACCATTTTTTTTTTTGCAAGATCACCAATCCTTTCCAATTGAGAGAAATCACTACTGGAACGCACATAATGAATATAAATCTCAAGTTGATCTTCAAGTGTCAAACGATCCTCATCCGAAAAGTCTTGAGGATAAAATTGAGCAAGACGAAGTAACTTTGGTTTATCAAAAGCTACAAATGAATCTTTCGGACTCAAACATGCCAAACAAATAAGCAACTCGGTATTTACCTCATTAAAGCGATCCTCTAACTCCGTAATTTGCTCATCAATGACATAAATACAGAGCTCCACACGATAATGATGACGATTTGTCTTTATTGGAGCATTACGCCTTGACCTCCCTGGAAGTATAAATGCCTCTTCCATGTTAGGAACATCAATATAATGTTTTTCACAAAAGAAGATACTTCATCAACCAATGCATCGAACCCATTATTCCTTATCCAATGTAGCTTTTCCTTGCATGATTTCACTAAAGCCATTGCATTCACAATTTCTTGATCTTTCCTTTGCAATGCTTGTGACAAATCATTTGTGAGTCCCAATATGACTTTCATCAAGAAAAGGTGAAACACAAACTCAAAAGTACGTATATCTCTCATTAACTTATTTGCTTCACTCGCACTTTCATTGGGATTATCATCAATAACCATTTAAAACACATGAACCACGGATGAAAACATGGAAATGATGCTAATCAAGGTACCATAGTGTGAGTTCCATCGTGTGTCACCGGTACGTTTGAGACTTGTTTCTTGATTTAAGCCTTGCCCCGTTATAAGACAATCATTTTCAAAAGCTATCACAAACTCTTCTTGAAGTTGCTCTCTAAGTAAATCACGCCGCTTACAAGATGCTCCAACATGATTAACCACACTATTAGCCGTTGCAAAAAAAGAGGCAATGTCTATATTCTTCTTTGCTACGGCAACAAGAGCTAGTTGAAGTGATGAGCAAAGCAATGAACATAATATGCACAAGGTTGTTCTCTCAATATCTTTGTTTTAAGGTCATTCAACTCACCTTTCATATTGCTAGCACCATCATAACCTTGTTCTCGTAGCTTGGAAATGCTCAAACCGTTGCGAGAAAATAATGTGTCAATAGCATCCTTTAGTGAACTTGAAGTAGTGTTGGTAACATGTTGGATACCCACAAATCTTTCAATTACATGCCCGTTGTCATCCACATAACGCCACACCATAGCCATTTGCTCTTTCACCGACACATCACGTGCTTCATCCACCAATATTGAAAAGAATCTATCTTTTAGACCATCCATGATAGCATCAAGTGTTTCAAGGGCACATGAATTCACAATTTCTTTTTGAATGCTAGGAGCTACTAATCTGAGATTCCCCGGAGCATTTTCCATCACAACTTCTCTAACTTTATCATTATTATCTGCAAGGAATTGCAATAGCTCCAAGTAATTTCCCATATTGCTTGAAGTGGCACTTTCATCATAGCCACGAAAAGGAAGACCTTGTCGCAATAAAAACTTAGTGCACTTGATTGATGCATTCAAGCATGTGCGATAAGCCTTACGAGCTTGGTCGGAGTGTTTGCTCACTGCCGTTTCAATATGTGTAGCTTGATTCATCAAATTTGTAGCAGCTTCTCTAGCCTTATTATGAACACTCCCAACCTGTCCAACATGCATCTTAAATCTTTCTCTCCCTTTCTTCCAAGTCTTAAATCCATCTCCAGTGAAAGCTTCACTACCCACTTGTGTAAAATTGGTTTTAAAGAGATAGCAATAGAGACAAAATGTCGCATCTTTAGATACACTATACTCCAACCAACCAAACTCATCAAACCATTGGGGAATGAAGCGTCGATTAATTCCCGACATATTAGTTATTGGGAAATTATGACCTCTAGGTTGACAAGGTCCTTTTTGTAGATATGATCTTCGGACCTCATCTCTCATATTAGCATCATAATCTATTATTCGAGTTCTCAATCCAGGATCCGCTTCAAGATTACCCAAAACACTATCTAACTGACTTTGTCTTGAACTTGGAGTTCTTGAACTACCAACAGTATTTGAACTATCAATATTATTCGAACTACCCGAACCCGATGATGACTTTCTCTTAAAAAACCGTTCCATAATAATTCTACATATACAAAATATTCAAAATAAATACTCACAATATAAACAAACCATCAACATAATCAAAATAAATATGAATTGGATATCAATTAAATTAAATATCTCATCTTGCATTCTACATATACAAAATAATGAAAATAAAAACTCACAATATAAACAAACCATCAATATAATCAAAATAAATATGAATTGAATTTCAATTAAATCAAATATATTCTACATATTCAAAATATTCAAAATAAATACTCACAATATAAACAAACCATCAACATAATCAAAATAAGTATGAATTGGATTTCAATTAAATTAAATATCTCATCTTGCATTCTACATATACAAAATAATGAAAATAAAAAACTCACAATATAAACAAACCATCAATATAATCAAAATAAATATGAATTGAATTCAATTAAATTAAATATATTCTACATATACAAAATATTCAAAATAAATACTCACAATATAAACAAACCACCAATATAATCAAAATAAATATGAATTAGGTTTCAATTAAATTAAATATATCATACATAGGGTTTAGAACTTACTTGAATTGTGAAATTTCACAATAACAATGAGCAAATACAAAGAGCAAAGTTGGTGGCACCACCACCACAGTGACGACGACGGCAGCACAAATGCACCTTAATGGCGGCAGCAAGGGAGGAGATGGAGTTGAGGGTTTGGGGGGGATTGAGTTTGGAACTTAGGGTTGGAGGAGGAGAAAACAAAAGAAATTTGGGGGTTTTGGAATGAATGGTTTCGGATCTGTGTGAAATAGGGTTGAAAAGGACACGCTGGGCTTTTTTTTTCTTTAGACCTGGCCCAAAACGACGTCTTTTTGCCCAGGTTGTTTAAAAAAAAAAAAAACAGGCGCGTGAGCGCCTTCGTCTTCAACCAGCTCAGCCGAGGACCTTTCGTCGAACACTTGGTGTGCAGCTAATGGGTCGCACCAGCAGCTCCAAAGGGTCTCTAAGGTTGTTTCCATGGCTTCCAAGGGGTCGTGCGACCCCATTGACCCCACTGTGGATCCGCCACTGCCCTCGACTGGGCTTTCGCCAAACCAAAATCTGAAAGCTTTGCATTGTAGGACAATAGGAGGCGAAAGATGGAGGATATGTATTGAATTGAATTGTGAAATCCACATTTGCCCTGCATGGCAAATATGCCGAAACCCTTTTCAAGTTGGGACTTACTTGGTAACAAGGTAGCCATATATTGGTTAACATGTAGGACCCCAAATCAAATCATGCATATGATCAAGGCTAGTGATGGGATCAATCGTGATAACACCCGCGCTGATTATGGTTGTTTTCTGCTTTGTGATGTCTCGTAAGCATGAATTATCAGGACGAACAACATCTAACTCAGATCATGCATATCATTGAGCTCCATCATATCCAATACGAGTAAAGGTGTTACAAAAGTGCTATGATTAGTCGCGCAATCATTCAAATTAAGATTTTAACGTTCCAGCTTTATGAGTCACATAAGCATGAATGGTCGAACCAACACCACCAAATTTGGAGAATTTCATGCATCAAATATGGTATCATGCTAGGGTTAATATGCTTCTTTTTACTAGTTTTCGCTCCACCATCTGAAAAGCCAAAAACAACTTGGCTCTGATTGCATCAGAACACGAAGCCCCATGCCATCATCACCTTCAACTAAGTGGAGGTCAGGATCCTTTCCTGAGCAATTCCCTAGGGATCCCGCAATCTTGTTCGTTCATTGTATATTGTGTGGTCAGAAATCATTTAAAATTTAAATTTTAAAATTCAAATATGAATAGTACCTAACGAAAACTGACCGCACGATATAAAATGAACGGATAAGATTGCGGGATCCCTAGGGAATTGCTCAGGAGATGATCCTGGTTCGGTGGTTGCCATCCTTTGGGTTTCACTATCCAGTCTATTAATTTACACCCAATTTTTATTGCTGGAGCTCTTTTTTGGTTCCAACTTCTAATGATGCTAATCTTGCCTCTGGAACTCAGGGAAAAACCATGGAATGGAAACCCTAAATATTTGAAGGATTCAGAACAGTCGGATTGTGAAGGTGGTGAGACAATTTAATAATCACACGTCCACCATAGGTGATAGTTTTTAGTCTACCCGAATACTGAAAAATGCGTCATATGTCATTATACAAGTGGATGAACACTTGAAAAAAAAAATTCCTTCTACATGTATAATAACATTCTAGCATATGGGCACACACAAAGTGTGTGAGAAGTTTTTTTTATTTTTGTTTTTGAAATAGAAAGAGAGAGGAAGAGAGTGATAGAAAATGTGAGTGAGAATTTTTTATTTTTTTTAATAAATTAGAGATATGTTAGAATTACATGTAGGTGAGACTTTGAAAAAAAAAAGCAAAATTTGGTTTGTGAAATTACATTTCTGCCCCATATTTCTTATTCATGTTCTGTTTTAATTAAAAGGTTAAACTGATAATTTTATAGGGTTTTGGTTGACAATGAATGCTTTATTAATTAGTAGAGATATAGTGTACCACGTGTTCCCAATACATTGAAAAATCTTTCCCACCATAGAATATAGCATTTCAAATAACACATTCAAATATTGTTGTCCTTGCCACTCAGTAATACGATCTGGTGGTATTCCTCTTCACTTGGAAATGAGATGTTTTAGATTTGAATCATGTGAATGGCGAATTCGATATCAAATTAGGTTACCCATTATGTAACTTAGCAGAACCTCCCTCTCATTAATGTAAAATATCGATGTTCTAAAAAATACAGTCAGATCGACCGTCTGATAAATACCACCTTCAATAAAACTGTAAAATAATGTGCAATTGCAAGTATACGTAGGCTTGGACTTTGGGTTGGGCCTCTTAACCAGCCCATAAAATTAAAAAAATGGAAAACGTAGGGAGAGAGAGGATTTAATTGACTTGCGATCCAGGGCGGCGCCGGCTCCTTGAACCAAACGACCGAGAAACCTCACGACATGATAACGTCACACACCGAACCTCCAACTTGTCATACACTCTCAAGCACTGCCCAATAGAGACCTTCCACGTAACCCACCAACAAACTTAACATCCCTTCTTCTCTGACGTGTCGTCATCTGATTCGTGGCCCTCGGGAACCAGGCGTTATTCTATCACCAATCTCCTCACCGGTGACCCGCTGTGGAGGGAAACCCAAAGGCCAAAAGCGCCATGGGAGAAAGCAACACAGAAGCACCAAAGATTCAATGTCCGATTAAATACTTTTCCGAAATTATATTTCTCTCCCCATAAAACTTTGAAATTGTAATTGTTGCCAAATTTGGGGAAATTAGGGGTTGGAATTGGAGGGGGTTGCGATCTGGATCGGAAATTAGGGTTGGAAATTGGGGGAAAACTGAGATCGAAACGGTGCGCTGCATGAGAAGGAAGCCGACGGCGGGGGAGAGGGAGGAGGAAGAAGGGAGAGAGTGAGAGAAGGCAAAACATGTCTGCCGTTGTGTGCGGGAAGAGATCATCGATTTTCGAAGACAACTCGCTGCCGTCGACTTCCCCTCCCGTCTCCTCCGCTTCCAAGAGAATCCGCTGCTCTTCTTCTTCCTCCCCTGTTCGCTTCTCTCCTCCCTCCACGACGTCGTTTGCTGCCTCGCATTTGATCGAACAACTCAGGGCCGTTTTCCCGGACATGGACAACCAGGTTCACATTTCATTCATTTTTCTCTTTTTTTTCATTAATTAATCAATTCTGTGTAATTATGTTGGAATTGTTGATTTTTATTGTTGTATGCATCATTCGAAGGGATAAATTTGATTGCTTGGATTGGATTGGATGATAGGACTGGATTCGATTAGCGAGCCTAATTTAAAAGAAAATCTAATGAAAATGACTTGGAAACTTTAGATTTTAACTATAATCACAAAATAAAAGATAAAGTGAATAGTATTAGAATTGATTTTTTAGCGTAAAAATATGATTTTTCGTTAAAGTTAACATGACATGATCTTTTCGTTAAAGTTCCCTAATTTAAATGCCAAATATTAGGGAATGCATTTTCATAGTATTCGGCGTCCCTGAATTTCGTATGCCATGATTATCGTGAATTGTTTAGTTCAATTGTGAAACTACAAATGGAATCCCTCTTGCATTTTCGTGTGTTCTGGGTGTTTTTATGATAATTGGTTTGAGTCTTGTTGATCATTTTGTGGCATATTACATGTTTCTCTATCATTTTTTTATATTATATCTTCGTTCTCTGGCATATTTGCTTTGTTGCATTTCTGATTTTCCGACTGCCATGAAGTGTATGTTTACATACAGATACGTATGTGTGTGCGCTTGTGTGTATATGTACAAACACTATACAGGGAGTTAAACATGTGTGACACGGATGCACGCTGCCCCTTCAATGTGGTTGGTTGCATTGACTTCTTGGTGTAACTCGATCGACAACCCACGTGATTGGTGACCTCCCGTAATTGAAACTCCGCATGCATATACGTGCCATTTTTGTTTTTCTTGTCATGGTTCTTAATACCCTTCAACTTTGGAGGATGTGCATCATATCTAGTTAATTAAGATGAAAGGTTACTAAGCATTTTGAAATTATTATCCTAGCTTCTGGAGGGAGCACTTGAAGAATGTGGTGGTGATTTGGATTCGGCTATCAAAAGTTTGAATGAGCTACGTTTAGGTTCTGCAGCAGGAAAATCTGATATAGCGCCAGAAGCAAATGTGCAACTCCAATCACAAAGTATGAGCAGATACTTTCTTGCTTTACCTAGAAAGTTATATCGTTGTCTCACCTTCCACAGGGCTTACCACCGTGACAGTCTTTCAAGAATTGAATCTATAAGTTTTTTGGTAATCTTGCTAGTATTGTAGACATTAAGGGGGGTTGATCAATATTTTGTTTCAGGTGCGGTAGCAACAAATGGAGAGGTTGCAGTAACTGATGATCCATCAGTGCAAAATAACCTTCCCAAGGATGGAGCTGAGTGGGTGGAGCTCGTTGTCAGAGAGATGATGAGTGCCTCTAACATGTATGATGCTAAAGCTCGTGCTTCAAGGGTGCTTGAGGCTTTGGAGAAGTCCATTAGTGCTTGTGCAACCACAGAGGTAGCCCAAAGCTTTCGCCAGGTATGACCTCTTAATTACATATATTGCATGTCCAATATATGTTTCTCTTTGTCTAGTTATTGTTTTTTTCTTCCCTTGGCAGTGAGTAGAAAACCGGGGGAATGTTTGAGGATGCAACATCTATTAATTTTCCTTTTTTTTCCTAATGGCTTAGCGGTACTTATGTTTTTCCTTGTTGTAGGAAAATATGATGCTGAAGGAACAAATGGAAGCTATTATTCAGGAAAATGCAATTTTAAAGCGAGCTGTATCCACTCAGCATGAACGGCAGAAGGAGTTTGAAGATAGAGGCCAGGAATTGCAGCATCTGAAGCAACTGGTGGCCCAGTACCAGGAACAGTTGAGAACCCTCGAGGTTGGGCTCAGGAACCTAATAACTTTATACAACCTTATATTTGGATGGAAGTTTTGGGAGAACAATATGGTCTTGCTTGCTTTATATAAACAGCTCATTACATTATCTCCTTCCTAGTCTGTTACCGTTCCTTTTTAAGTTGATTCTTTCTTCATCGTGGTCATTGCTTGCTTAAGTTTTCTAAATTCTGTGTGTGCTGATTTCTGTCGTTTGATTATTTCTTTTATACCTTATCAGGTGAACAACTACGCACTTACAATGCACCTAAAGCAGGCACAACAAAGCAGCTCCATCCCAGGGCGCTTTCATCCGGATGTTTTCTAAAGAATTTGTATAACGATAAATGTTTCTTCGGCTTTGTGGACGGATCATGTGCTTTCGTGTGGTAGTTTTAATGACATGGAGGCACTTCAAGCTGTATTTGTGTTGTTTGGGAAACAGAGATGCAGCTTCTTTCCTCTGTTATGGTGACGACGCAGTTTCGTTCAAACACGAATTCAGGGATATGTTCTGTAGGTTTTATAGGAAGAAACATTTAGTGATTTAATTGTATCTTTTTATACTTCAATTAAAGAGGGTTTATGCTTTAAACCCTATTATTCAATCGAATTTCGTCGGCTGAATTCTTGTACATTCCATGCATCCTCTACAATTTTTTGTGTTCGCCAACTGATCGTACAGATCCAAAATTTGATCGTACTTATCATCTGTGAATGGCATCCTTACTTCCGTGGGCATCGCTCATTCCTTTGTCCTTTTCCCCGATTTTTGCTCTATGCCGAAACCCAAACGTTAAGCCAGCAACACTTCCAAATGCCATTTCGATGGGCAGGGAAACTCGCACGTGTGGTTTTGGCCAGGGTTTCTTGAGGAATCGAAAGATGAAAGATGATCTCTCTGGTATTCTACCTTTATCTGTCCCGAGTTGTTCGCAAGTGAATGAGCATAAGTTGTGTGGTCTGTAAGAGACTTGTAGCTTAAGTAATTAAGAGTATTTATCGCTGCACTCAACTCGAGGTCCTGTCCACGAATTTTTTTTTCCCAAAATCGTTTGGATTTCTGTATATAAAAAGTAAGTGGGAATATGATTACCAAAAATAAGTGGGAATATGAATTTGCCGTTTCGTACATGCAAAGGATCTCTTTAGCACCGTAAACTTGACTCTTCTCTGAATCAGTCTGATTACTCGATGGACAGGGGATTGCTTCATGAAGACGGCATTTTTCTATGTTGCAGAAAATTTTGATATAGCAGCAGAAATACGGATATCGCTTCAATGCTGCAATTGTTTTAGCTAGAAGTTTGATTTCTACAATTATCCAGATCTTTTATATTTAATCTTAGTCGTTCAGAAATACATATAATAATCCCTTTAACTTTTGCTTTTGGCCTTTGGCTTTTGCTTTTGTTCCTTTTTCTTTTCTATTGCAAATGCCAACGAAGATCCTAGGCTGTATTTATTTATTCACAACATGCTTTCAGCCAGCCATGAAATTTACAATTGGGCACATGCATTGACATAGAAAACTACACGCATGGCCTAGAGATGAGTTTTTGGAAACTTCATAGGCTTAAAAAATAGTTAAATTGCTGACAACATTTGTTTTTCTTTTTGGCCTCAAGCTGACAACAGTTGCGTGAAACTATAAATCACAAAACAAAACATTTTAAGCGTTTTGTAACTTAATTAGTTAAGAGCATTTAGTAAGCGATTAGTAGTTAGAAATATTCATCTTTTTGCTTCGAGATTTCAAGTTCAATTTCATTCTTTCCAATATCGCTTGTATAGAAAAGAATTGCAATACATCATATGCTGTTGAACTCATCAAGGTTGGAGAGAAATATTACAGATAATAATATCACACAGCAAGAGGGGGTAAAAGGTAAATGTCTATTGAAAACCCATAAGGGCATAGACCATGATGGTCTGTCTGCCAATGAAAGGTTAAAATAAACTAATTTAGAGAGAGACAGCAATGAAGGCTACTACTGTAGAGAGAGACGGCAATGAAGGTTGGTTAGGGAGGAATGGCATCCTATGCCATGACACATGGTGGTTGTGAATTGAAGATGAAGCTGCAAATTAATCAATGTCTGGTTTATCTTGTTTCCTATACAACTTGGTGCATGTGTTTAGACATGAGGAATACCTACCTAAACCTGAGAAACGGTATCTTAATCCAATCAGATACTGTTAATGTTCTTTCGGTAACAAGTTGATGAAGGGTAGATGAAACTTACTGGATCTTGGGAGGTAAGAGTACCTAAACCTGAGAAACGATATCTCAAGCCAATTATGCGTACCATTTAACACAAGAAATTGATGATGGTAATTAAATCTTACTAGAGCTTTGGAAGTAGGAGCTTAATTAGAGATCAATACCTAATTAGTGGGCTAATAGAAGTCCTCCACCTTTCATCATCCTCTTGAACTCATCAAAATTGACCATACCATCTCCATCCCTATCAACTTTCTTCACCATCTCCTTACAATCCTCCACCTTATTCCCCTCTCTCAATCCCAAAGAACACAACACCACCGCCAACTCCTCCACCGAAATCAACCCATCTTTATCCTTATCAAACACACCAAACGCCTCCTTCAACTCCTCCTCCTCCTCCGCTCCTCCCCCATCTCCGCCCTCCACTACCCCATCATCCCGACGAAGCATGGACCCGCACAGCATGCAAAACTCATCAAAGTCAATCAACCCATCTCCATTAGCATCCACCTTCTTTACCATTTCTTCCACCTCAGAATCACTCATAAAAATCCTGATATTCTTCAGTGACTCCTTGAGCTCCTGCTTTGTGATGAACCCGTCACTGTTCTTGTCGAAAGTGGCAAACAATTGCTTCAGCTCCGCCGCCTGATCTGCTACTTTTGGTTGCGGACTAATACTATTCACAACATGATTATCTTTGTCCTTGCTTGGAGTGGTAGTAGGAGTGGAGTAGGGTTTGGACAAAGATTGAAACCAAGCAAGGAGCTTGGTGGTGGGAAAACGAAAGAAAATATTTACGAGGCCAGCTATGAATAAAACTGCTAATAAAAGTACGGTGGTTACCGCCATTTTTTCTGTTTTTTTTTCTTTTTCAGCAACTAAGGAGAAGATGATAAGGAAGAAGAAGAAGAAAGAAGAGGAGGCCAAGAGCAAGGAGAAGAACTGACTTTGACGTCTTATCAAAGTCTTTGGTAAATTCTTCCAAATTACAGATTCCAGCACTACGCGGTTTTGGTTTGCTTTTCGATTCCATTGTCCCACAAACCGCGTGATCTCAACATAAAATAATGCGACACTTAAACACACATTTGTTTTCTTACTAATTAGCTTCATGTGATTGCTTACTAATTGTATGTATTATTTTTGCTAACAGTACTCTCAAAGTTGACTTCCAATTCTACTTGGGTACACTGCCCTAATTTGGAGGGAGTTCTTTGCCCGACTATCTGCATACGGCATCATAGACAATTAGCCTATTAGGTGAGTTTGAGTGCGTGTACCAAACAGACAACTCAGTGTGTGTGAGTGTATGCTCGCATAGCTACATGGTCCGCCTCTAGGATAGTGAAATTTCTTTCTGATTATAGCTAATAGTAGATGACGAATTCCAGACATATATTGTATTCCACAAGGTATGTCTTGAGTTTATTTTTTTTCATTGTGAATCACATGATAATGGTCAGGAAAAGGTTGAAATATCTTTGTGAATCTTTCCGGCCCTCAGAAGAGTAAACTACTGTGATGATACCATTGGTTGGTCCATTAAAAAAAAACACATGATGTCATCATTGAAAGTAATTCTTAGATAGTGATAACGGTAGGATTGTATGTTCAATTTGAACTGAAATTAATAACAGAGGTTTTTTTTCTTTTTTCTTTTTAGTGCATCTGTATTTTTACATTAAAGGAAGAGGGAGTTTGACTAAGCCACACACGGACATCCTAATTTGGTATCGAATTCACCATCTACAAGATTCAAACCTAAGATCTCTTGCTTCAAAGTGAAGAAGAACACTATCAGACCGTAATACCGAGTAGCGATAACAGAGTTAACCACAAAGGTAATATTAAGAGTTTTTTTTCGCCACACGAGCAATATTGATGAAACCAATACAAATTAAATGGCTCAACCTAGCATTTGATTGAGTCTTATCTTTATTTTGTTTGAGTTCCACGGTAGCCTTAGAATTCTGCTCCGTTGCCACCACTAAAAATATCAGTAAACGGTGCCGGTCACTATCATGGTCGTTGTAGATGGGCAGACTTAGAAGATAGTACTACTTGTTTTGGCTTTTGAGATTGTTGAACAATTTGCACCTCTGCCGGTCAACAAATTAAAGGGTTTTTGGTGTTGGTCTTGGTCTCTTTGGGAAGTAGATATTTTGGTGAAAATATTTTTGAAAATAATCCTTATAAAAATGTAAGTGAATTTTGGAAAAATACTTGAAGTGCTTCTTGTAGAAAACACTTCAAGTTCTTTTGAAACCTAAAAACAGTTTTTTTTTCTTTCTAAAAACAGTTTTCAATTATTTTAAAAACATTTCCAAACTAGCCATAGTCATTTGTTTGTTTAAACAATGCACTTTAATTGTAAGTTGCAAACATAACTAGATAAATAAAGGACACTAGCAAGCTCTCGGTGGAATGGTACTCCAATTGTGTCCTTTTGAAAGGAGCAGAAGGATCCATGTCTTTTTGTGGGATTAAGATTTTCTCCCCTTTTATTTTTATCAATTTTCCTCTTTTCCTTTCATACATTATTTTTTATCTTATTGTCTCTATAAAAAACCAACAAATATTAGATATTAAAGTAACTTAACCGTAACCGTTTAAGTAATATAGAGGAAAGGGAATAATGATTAGGAGGAGAGAGAATCATCCTCCCTTTTTATGTTGCACCACTAACTACCGCACCAACGGTGCCCCCACCTTCACACCATCGCAAAACATCATTTGTGCTGTGCTGGAGGTAAAAATACTGAAGAAAATGAATCAATGCCAATCATATCTTATAGCTGTGGAAGGTAGAATTTTCTCTATTTATGCTTTTAGAAAGCAGAATGACAAAGGAAGTAGGAATTCTTACGGGGAATAGTATCCTCTCTAGATTCATTTTGTGGGGATCTTAGGGATTTTCACATTCTAGCCGTTCATCGTACATCGTACGATCATTTTTGTCATATATTATTTGTATTTAATTTTAAATAAAAAAAAGTTATGATTTTTGACCGCACGATACATGATGAATGACTAAGATTAAAGTGGATCCGGATGGGATCCAATTCCTTCTTATGGAACACGAAACGTGGTTCACGATCTTTTTTTCATTTTGATACAAACCATACTAGAGAGAACCTAGGATCTCGAGTATAAAAATAAATACTTTTTAACTTGAATTACAAACTAACTAAATACCAAAATATGTATACGTAACAGAAAAGACGATACAAGTGACCGAGAAATCTGCAAATTTCGGTACTAGTTTTTTGGGCGATTGTCTTCAGTTTGGTCCTTTGGATTTGATTAACATGCATGTTCTACATACCCAAGTGCCGTGAATGATGTTGCACACCCTTGCTTTAATTTGTTTATATAGCATATATGCCTTGCTTTTCTTGTGTGCAC